TTTTTATTTAACTATGCTAAATTTTTTAAAAAATAGATCAGAAGTAGTTTTATAGTAAAATTCAGGCCAAATTTGTACTGAATTTTAAACAGTTTAAGGGATACTGAATATACAAGCCGATCGAGCTATTTTGTATCACTATTACTAGGGCTGTTAAAAGTCCGATCCTATCTGTCCAGACTCCTCAAATAGAGACTTTGATCAGAACTTAACCAGTCAAGTTTGCATATAATAATCCATGATTTACTACCAAAGTATTAGTTTTTTTTTACTTATTATCATTATGTAAAATTTAGTACGTAGTAAGATTTAGTAATAATAATCAGAAAATTATATATTAATAATAATCTGAAAATTATATATTAATAATCTGAAAATTATAACCTCACAATTAATCTAAACCAATAAAGAAGTTTTACGCCAGTTTTACATGTAAATTACAGCAGAGACTGTTCAAATATAGAAGTGATTTTATTCTCAGTATACATATCAAAAAAAAAAGATTCTATAATCATAGGGATTCAAAAAAAAGTATTCTATAATAACATAAAAAATTTTTTATCAATTGAATATGTCACCTCTGATTCACGCATAAAACCTATCTCTACTTTTAAATCATTACTAAGGAAACTTCGTTCTCACTTACAACATGAATACAGTATCTCTAATGAACGATTCAATCTTAAATTCAGATACAAATAAAAGACTTTATACTGGAAAAGAGGAAGAAAATAATGTTTTTATTAACACCATGTCTATTAATAACCAACAAAAAAAGTGTATCCAGGGGATGTTGATCCAGAATTTTGTTTTAATTCAAAAGCTCTCAGTGCCACAGTTTATTCTATTGTAACTTCTTTTTTCAGTTTAGAAAATGATCGTATTATTACAAGATATAAAAACTTAAATCCTCAAATTGATATAAATGTTTTGAGAAATTGTTTAGAGTATGAACCAAAATTTTTTAAATAGGCAGGTGATTACTTCAATTTATGTTAATGTATATTTTTTTTTTTTTTTTTTTTTTTTCCAATCTATCAGCAGCCTCGCCGGTATCTTTATTAGATCAAAGCATATATAATTACATATAATCAACTATCTAAGTTACAGAT